ACCTGCGCCGCCCTTAGGGCTTCACCGGTACTTTCCCTCCTGGGACCCAGTGGCTCTTCCGGCGCCCCATCTACGGCTTGCGACAGGCAACCCGTGAGTGGCACGACACGCTGCGTGCCACACTAGCTGACCTGCAGTTCTTTCCGTCCACTGCTGACCCTGCGCTCTTCGTTCATGCTGGCCAGACTCCGTTCTACATCTAGGTCTACGTAGACGATCCGGTCTTTGCTACAGCAGATAGAAACGTGCTGGCCTCCGTGAAGGCTGGGCTGCTGAGGCGACACACCTGAACTGACCTGGGAGAGCTGCGCCGCTACCTTGGCCTGCAGATCTCCAGGGACAGAGCAGCGTGCGCCATCACTCTTACGGAGTCACACTTGGTGCGCCAGGTTCTTCAGAGGTTCGGTCTTCTGTTCGCCTCCGCACAGCCCACACCTCTGCCGGTAGACCACAGGCTCTCAGCTCCAGTTCCCGAGGTGTCAGCAGAGCCCAGTGGTCCTTAAGCAGAGCTGGTGGGTTGCCTCATGTACCTGATGACTTGCACTCGCCCAGATCTCGCATACCCTCTCAGCATCCTGGCCCGCTTTGTGGCCGCAGGCAAACATCGACCACATCACTGGTCGGTTGCTAAGAGGGTTTTGCGTTATCTTGCAAGTACATCGGGCATGGGGCTAGTGCTGGGAGGACGCGGGTATCACAGGATCGAATGTGTCGAGGAAAGGTTGCACTATCAATTGATACAAGGCGCTTTTATACTTCCAAAGTACATCAGGTAACCAGGTTTATTCTATCCCTAGGGAATAGACCCTTCTAGAAAATAGAATCACCCTGCGTATAGCCACGCGAGGTTATTGGCTTTAAGGGATTACGGTAGGATTACGCTAGTTATAGCGTACTAGTACATCCCGAGCCTGGTCGGTGATATAATGATAAGAACAGGATATACCAAAGGTTTATGGAAAAAGAAGGAATGGGAATCCAAATGGAATGAGAGAAAGACCAGATGAATCAAGATAAAAAAAAAGGAATGAAATGGAAAGGAGAAAGGAATGGAACGAGATCGTACTCTCACACTTCCCCCCCTCAAAGCTGGGTGGTAGACGTAACACCCTGCTTGACAAGGTAGTCGCAAAGAGGACGACAAGCGTGATCCATCGCGGATTCAGAGACCCAGTTATTCTCTGAAGGATCATAACCCTTCCAACGGATGAGAAGCTCCACGTTGCCATTCCGTCGACAGCGGTGAGCAAGCACGGTCTCGACCTCGTACTCAGGTTCATCATGGACGAGGACGGGCGGCGGCGGCGGCGGTTGGCGTCAAGAGAAGACCGTGTTGGGATCTTGGTAGGGCTTCAAGAGTTGGACATGGAAGGCGTTGTGAATCTTCCAGGTAGCTGGCAGGCGTAAGCGGAAGGTAACAGGAGTGACATGTGCTTCAACGAGAAAAGTCCCGCAAAAGCGCGGTCACAGTTTGGATGGGAGATGGTTGATGTCAAGATTGCGTGTGTCGAGTAGTACTCGGTCTCCCACGGTGATGGTGTGGTCTGTGCGGTGGCGATCGGCCTGGCGCTTTTGTTGCTGCTGAATGTCGAGAAGGCGCTTGTGGGTCCGATCCCAAAGTTTGTGCATGGTCGTGATGAAATCATGAGCGGGTTGGACTGTGGCTGGTATGGTTGGCTGTTGAGGTGTGAGTGGGTGGCGTCCGTAACAGAGGAAGAACGGTGTCTGTCCAGTGGCAGCGTGAGTAGCATTGTTGTAGGCAAACTCCAGGACGGGCAGATGCAAGTCCCATTTGGAGATGCCGTCCTTGCAGGCTGCGCGGAGGAGTTGCTCCACAATTTGGTTGAGGCGCTCGGTCTGTCCATCTGTCTGCGGATGGTAGGCGGATCCAAATGGAATGAGAGAAAGACCAGATGAATCAAGATAAAAAAAGGAATGAAATGGAAAGGAGACAGGAATGGAACGGGGTCGTACCTCACAGCAGGCCAGTGGTCCTTACTGGGCACACAGACGCTTCTTGGGCAGACAACGCTGAGACCCTCCGGTCCTCCCAGGGCTACTGCTTCAGCCTTGGTTCTGGTGCCATCTCGTGGAGGTCCACTCGCTCCTCGTCTGTTGCTCATTCTAGCTTTGAGGCTGAGATCTACGCCGGTGCCATGGCGGCACAGGAGCTCCGCTGTCTGACCTTCTTGCTTGCCGACTTAGGTGAGCGGCCTAGCTCTGCCCCGGTTCTGTACGCTGACAACAGGGTCATGATCCTCCTGTGTCAAGAGCCTCAACTTGAGGGCAGAGCGACGCACATCCAGCTACGGTACTTCCTCCTGCGCGAGCTTCAGCGGCATCGCCAAGCCCGCGTAGTACACTTGGCCTTGGGTGCCAACATTGCTGATATCTTTACTAAGGCGCTTCCGCCTAGAGATCATCAGCGGCACTGCTTGCAATTAGGTCTAGTCCCTGTTGACTCTCACTTGCTAGGCCCTTGATTGTATACTCCTTTCTATTTATACCTTGCAGACTGGCCTTGTGGCCTTTCCTCTAGTGCTTGGACTAGTTGTGCCGTCCTGGTTTGCTCTGTCTTGCTTGTACTCTTGCTGACTGGTCTTCAGGCCCCTGCCTCTGAGGTTGGACTAGTAGTGCCACCCTGAGCTGCGTGTTTCTTGCTCAGCACTACCCCTTATCTAGCCTAGGGGGTGTGTCAACTTATACATATATTGTTATGTAGAAGTTATAGGCTAGATAGGGTATGCTCTTAGTGGGTACAACCCAAACTCTATATTTCCCTTGTTCTCATTTCTTCAAATTATACTTTCTAGTCTTGACATGTGTCCCTGCGTCTTAGCCGTAAGATATGCGTATGGTCCAATTTGAACTCACCCCAAATCGAAATGGGCCCACCTTGCATACGAACCATGTGCGAAGTAACAGAATCACGATTTTTCGCAACCAATAAAACAATTGTTTGTTTTACCCAACCAGCCCAAATTCTGACCATTAACTTGCGTGAACTAATTTGGGATTTGGGCTTTAACGTGAAAATGACACAAAACACATTGATGGTGGGGTTTGAACCCAAGACTTCCGTACGCGAAATCACCAGAGGTATTTTCGGGCCAGGGGTTACTCAGGGTTAAAAGAACAAGTAGTTTCAGGATAATTGTGGAAAAACATGTCTTGTAACTATCCCCCAGGTATCTTTTGGTCTGCTTACAGAATGGCTGTTCAAGCGAGTCAGGTACGGGACATCAACTTTTTGCTGATGTGCTCTGTTCGAAGGGGGCTGTGTGACGCAGACAGAGTTGCACTTAGTGAGTTGCGGTGCTATCTGTTGCGCACTGTACATGGTCGGTGCCTCTAGCATATGCTGCGATGGGAAGTCGCAGGTTTCCTCGCACATATTTGTTCGACGTTTCATGGGTGTATTGCAAATCCCAGAACGTAAACCATTCCTCAGATCAGAAACAAGGGACACTCTGCTGGCGGGGTAACATCGGACTCCCATCATCCACCTAGGACATCTATTGTAAGGAACTTCCATTCCTTACTGAGTCGCCCGCTACTGCGTACACCCGAACTCTTCGACTCGTCACGTTCGGCCTACATTTTCGGCCCAACCCTTTCTCGAGTCGCGTCCGACAGCGTCGCCACATTGCCGAACCTAACCACGTCCCGAGGTTATCGCCCTATTACGTCTACGCCTATATAACCTCGTGCTTTCATTGCAATAGCAACCTTGTATTCTCACGTTATAGTTCATTGACATCTTCTAAATCATAACAGCTGGTATCAGAGCCCGACCTTTCTTGGATCCTTCCGTTTTCCCCCGTTAATTAGTTAAGGGTGGTGAGAGGGGATTAACACGGCTGCACAGCAGTTGTCTTCGATCGTAAATATTTTTACGTCAACAACTACAGCGTGTGCGCTAGTTTCTGCCCCGTCCTGACCGCCATGGCCCCGGTGGACTCGACGGTTGAGGAACAGACAACCTCGACCGCTGCGAACTCTGCCCGGGAAACAGTAAACCTGCAAGCATTAATGCAGCAGTTGAATAATTTGACAAGCGTCGTCAACAACCTCCGTGACGAAAACCAACGACTTCGCCAGGCGCAGGAAAGGCGTTCAGAGGAACCGGGCGACGATGCACGAAGCGAGGCGGGTGAGCAGCAACCGACACCAGTGGAGCTAGCACGGCTAGCCGCAACAGCCCCTCGCTCGACAAGTGGCGGCGTGAGATATCAGCAACCCGCTCCTTTCGACCCAGCTAATAAAGGCGTGACGGTGCGGCAGTGGATATTCGCCACGAATATCTACTTCAACGCAGGGGGCATCCGAGACGACCAGAAGCGGATCAGCCATGCGTTGACACTGCTACAAGGGGCTGCCCTACAGTGGTGGAAGGTCATCGTCGACTCAGCGGCAACTCGCACAGAAGGACAGCATGAGTGGTCCGAAGAATTCAGCGACGAGGACGAAGCAGACTTGCTGTTTGGTGCAACTCACATTCGCACGTGGGCAACGTGGTGCGCAGAGCTTTGCAAGCGGTTAGAGCATGCTCCTGACTTAGACAAAGCGCGCGAGACTTTACGCATGTGGAAGCAGCTGCGATCTGTGTCGGACTACACCGCGTCATTCTTGACGTTGGTGGATCGATGTGGCTACATGCACGAGTTGGAGAAGGTCGACAGGTACATGGGCGGGTTGAAGCCTGAAATACAGTACCAAATAAAATTACAACGACATGCGATGCGGTTACAAGACTTCATCCAACTCGCCGAAGCCGCTGATTCGCTCACGAAGCCGAGGACGAACTTCTACGACGGAGGTCACCCTCGAGAACAGTACCAGCGCGCCACGATAAAAGGGATGGACGCAGTGGATATTTACGCAGTTGCTCCGCGAAATACGGGGCTATGCTACCACTGTGGCCGACCGGGTCACATCAAACGCAACTGCCAAGAGTTCATAGCCACCCAGAATTCTATGGGGAAAAAGCCGGAGGAGCGACCGGGAAATGGGTCGCGTCAGTAAGTACCAGGCCCCTTACTGACGGGCAGGCTTCTTCGCCCGAACCACACAGTCCCCACCGGGTCGTGATCCCGATTGCTGCAATCGACCGGACCCAGACAAATAAGGGGGACGAAACTGCTGATCACCCTGTGTTGGTGGGGGGTAAAGTCAACGGGGTGTTGCTGAAAATATTCGTGGATGGAGGTGCGAGTCACAGTCTCATACAGCTAGACAGGGCTAAGAAAATGGGTATCCCCTTATTAAAGTGCCTACCCGAATTTGACGCAAGACTGGTGGATGGAACACCGCTGGCTATACGGGAGCGGGTGGAGCACGTCAATTTCCACTGCGGCGAGCATGTAAAATTTCGGATGGGGCTGCTGGCGACTACACTCGACGGGTGCGACATGCTGCTGGGAAGGGATTGGCTGCGACAGTACAACCCGAGAATCGACTGGACGACGGGCAGCTGCAGCATCAAAATCGAGGGGCACTATCACGAGTTACCGAAATGGACGGGACCCCGCATGCGTAGTACCCAAGTCCACGCGATCACCTTCAAGCGCGCGATAAAAGCGGGAGCAGCAGCATACGCCGTCGATCTTCGCGAAGTGACAGCGCCGATAACAGCGGAAGATATCACGAAGCTGTGTGAAGCCGTTCCTCCGGATTTAGCGGAACTCATTCGAAAATACCCCGAGATTTTCCCGGACGATCTACCCACCGGACTTCCGCCAAGCCGACCCGAAGACCATCGCATAGAGCTGGAACTAGGCGCACAACCGATAGTACAGCGACAATTTCGGCTCAGCCAACCTGAACTCGAAGAATTGCAGCAGCAGCTGGATTACCTCCTGACGAAGGGTTTTATCCGACCCAGCACGTCCCCATACGCCGCCCCGATACTGTTCACACCGAAAAAAGATGGAGGATTCCGCATGTGCATCAACTACCGCGCGCTCAACCGCATCACCATCAAGTCCCGTTACCCGATCCCGCGAGCCGACGATCTCCTCGACCAACTTCGCGGAGCCAAGTTCTTCTCAAAAATCGACCTGCGAGGAGGTTACCATCAAATTCGCGTCGCCGCCGACGATTGTCACAAACCCGCTTTCCGAACCCGCTACGGCAGTTACGAATACCCGGTGATGCCCTTTGGCCTCACGAACGCTCCCTCGACTTTTCAGATGACTATGAACGGTGTTTTCCCGCGAACTCCTGGATAAATGCGTAATTATCTACCTCGACGACATCCTCATCTACAGCAGCAGCAGGGAGCAGCACTTAAAGGATCTTGATGCAGTCTTCACGCTGCTGCACAAGAATCGCCTCATCACGAAAGGGTCTAAGTGCGATTTTCTTAAGCAGGAGTTGGAGTTTTTGGGACACGTCGTCTCTACCGAAGGCGTGAAAATCGACCCCAAGAAAATCAAGACTATCCAGGAATGGAAGCCGCCGACCAACCCTAAGGAACTGCTGAGTTTTCTGGGTTTCGTCAACTACGTCCGCCGCTTCATCCCCAATATGGCTGGGTTATCTGCTCCACTAACTGACCGCCTGAAGGATCACGACTGTTTTTGGTGGGGAGAGAAGCAGCAAGCTGCATTCGACCAACTCAAAATCGCCCTCACGTCGCCGCCCATACTTCGCATCTCCGATCCCGACCGTCCATACGAAGTCGTCACCGTCGCCAGCGACATCGCCATCGGTGCAGTTCTCCTACAGGATTTCGGCGACGGGTTACAACCAGTCGCCTACGAATCACGGAAGCTGCAGGGCGCGGAGAAGAACTATACAGTACACGACAAGGAAATGCTGGCGATCGTGCACGCGTTCAAAACCTGGCGGTGCTACCTGACAGGAGCTGATGTCACGGTGCGGACGGACCACAAATCCTTACAGTATCTGCGCGCCCAACCGAATCTCAACCCGCGACAGATCCGATGGCTCGATTTCCTCGAGTCCAATTTCCATTACACCATCACCTACAAACGGGGTGCCAATAATATCGCCGATGCCTTAACCCGCCCTACTGTCCATACCGCCGCGATACTAGTCGCCCAGACCAACCCATTACTTACGGGACTATTCACCCACGGCTACAAGATCGATCCCTTTTTCCGCTCAGCCATCCATCAACAGCATACCACCGCCACCGGGCCATATTTTTATAAGCGTGGTACTTCTCGCATTTGGGTGCCGAGCTACGATTTACTTCGTACCCTCCTAATCCAAGAATCCCACGACAACCCTACCTCATGACATTTCGGCTTGATAAAACCACGAAGATGTTGCAGCGGAATTATTACTGGCCGAACATGGCCGATGACGTGCGCAAGTACGTGTCCTCCTGCACTGCCTGCCATATTATGAAATCGTCGCATCAGCGAGCAGCCGGACTACTACAGCCGTTGGATCCGCCCGGGCGACCCTGGCAACAGGTCACGATGGACTACGTGACAGGACTACCGGCCGGTCCCAGCGGAAACGATGTCATCCTCGTGGTCGTTGACCAACTCACGAAAATGGCGCACTTCATCGCCTGCCAACAGACAATCACAGCCGAACAAACCGTGCGACTGTTCCTCACGAACGTCATCCGACTGCATGGACTGCCCTCCGCCATCATTTCAGACCGAGACCCGAAATTCACATCGAATTTCTGGCGCCAGCTGTGGGACCAATTCGGCACCAAACTCCAATTTTCATCCGCCTACCACCCACAAACCGACGGGCAGACCGAACGCGTCAACCAGACCATGGAACAACTGATTCGCACTACCTGTACTGACCCATCAACATGGGAGCAATCTCTTCCGCTGCTCGAATTCGCGTATAATAACGCGACCTCCGCCACAACCAACCAGTCCCCATTCTTCCTCAACTACAGACAGGACCCAGTAGTACCCTCTACACCGACCATCGAGTCACCCGTGCCTGGTCCCAGAAATTGCTGAAGACATTCTCGCCGCTCGAGAAAAAGCAGCTGAAGCCATAAAAAAAACCAACCTGGTTGCAAGCCGACAAGCCGATCGTCATCGCCGTGACGTCACTTACAACGTGGGAGATCTAGTCCTTCTCGACACCCGCAATCCCGAGCAAACTCCGACCCAGATTCTGCGGACCTTTTCAAGTGACCAACCTCGTGACACCTGTCACTGTTCACCTTCGACTACCGGCTGATTGGCGCCACCACCTGGCTTTCCACGCCAGTCTTCTCCGACCCTACGTTCCGAGTTCGTCGGACTTGGCACGCAACTGCGGTGTCCCGCAACTAACGCCTTTGCAGGAACCGACGACTGAGCCCTGAAAATCCTCGGCCATCGCGTCACAACGCAGCTGAATCGTCGGATGGTTGATTTCCTCGTCCGCTGGCGCGATCGCACGTCCGAAGACGACAGCTGGGTGTCTCTCGTTGATCTAGAATCACATCCGATTCTAACAGCGTATTATCGGCGTCGTAACGTCTCCGATGCCCACAGCCTCGTTTAGGAGGGGGGGTAGTGTAAGGAATTTCCATTCCTTACTGAGTCGCCCGCTACTGCGTACACCCGAACACTTCGACTCGTCACGTTCGGCCTACATTTTCGGCCCAACCCTTTCTCGAGTCGCGTCCGACAGCGTCGCCACATTGCCGAACCTAACCACGTCCCGAGGTTATCGCCCTATTACGTCTACGCCTATATAACCTCGTGCTTTCATTGCAATAGCGACCTTGTATTCTCACGTTATAGTTCATTGACATCTTCTAAATCATAACATCTATCCGCTCCAGTTTAGGTTGGAGTTGCCCAACCCGACGGATTACGTCCGAAATGAAGTCGGATGTCGTGAACTAAGATGGCTTGCTTCGATTAGGGATCATGTAGATCATTTTCGCACCAATGATTCAACAAGGTCGGTACGTGGGGGTCTTGAGGATCGCCGACCAATTGGTTGTGGTCTTTACCTTTTTTTAGTGAATGCTAGAGGTTGCGACATTTATTATTTACGCTTATACAATTGGTGGAACATCGTA